ATTTAAAGATAGAAATTTAAATGAATAATTATTGTTAAATTGACTAATAGTCACATTTAATAAATAACCTAAAAATTTGGTATGCATAACTATAAAATAAAATAATTATAATTAACTATCAGAGGGGGGCAGATGAAACATCAAAGTTGTTATTGCAATGCTAAAAATAGATAAATAAACAATCTTTATAATTACATTTAAAGATAGAAATTTAAATTATTTATTATTGTTAAATTGACTAATAATCATATTTAATAACCTAAAAATTTGGTATGCATAACTATAAAATAAAATAATTATAATTAACTATCAGAGGGGGGACAGATGAAACATCAAAGTTGTTATTGCAATGCTAAAAATAGATAGACAAACAATCTTTATAATTAGATTTAAAGATAGAAATTTAAATTATTTATTATTGTTAATGGACAATGTATAAATGTTGTCACACAATATATTTGATAATAAAAATTACTTGCAATATAACCAAAATATGTGTAATGTACAATTGAAATTTTCTTTAAATGTATTATATAATAGTTCACTGATAATGAAACCAAGTTATCCCGTATATTTCGATAAATTAAAATATAATGAAAATTGACAGAATTATTTTCTAAAATAACACTTATCTTGATATCTTTGAAGAAAGATACAACGTATCTAGTAAAATTAACATTTATACAAATAGAAAGTTAAAACTATAAAATACATTTGTACGAATTATTCGATAGAATATTACTAATTATTATGAAAATAATTGTTTAGTACACATACCTTAATGCAGAAATACTCTGCACAAGCTTGGGATTAATTCTCTGCATATTTGACAATTTCGTTACTGTTAACTGTATACTGAATAATTATCAATAATTTATTGACACGCAGTTAAATGTTTCAGAACACTCTCGTTCTTTCTTAAATATTGTCTTTAACAATACGAAAATCAGATGTGAAAACTTTCGGAGATTTTTTCGTGATTAGTTCGCAAAATGGCCACAAGTGGCGCTAGCTACGAATATTTTTTGGCGCTTTCATTCAAATTCTTAATTTCTAACATAGGCTAATAGCTTGTAAATTTTATTTGGTTTTAAACTATTAAATAAATAAATAAATAAATGAATGAATGAATGAATGAATAAATAAATAAATAAATGAATGAATGAGTGAACGAATGATGATAAGAAATAAAAATGGAAGAGTTAATCGATGATGTACTTCGTTTTTAATTGATGTAATGTACTTCGCGAAAATTGCCGTAACGTTGGTATTTTTTAATATTATTATAAACAATTAATTCTATTCATTGCTAAAGCCATTTATTACCGTGTATTCAAAAATAATAATATTTTATTTGATATACTTTCAAATTTACGAATTTGTTTAGAATATATCCATTTTTCTAAGGATCAGACCATTTAACATAAATCTTTTAATCTAAATATACTAATAAATAAATTCAACTATACCGAATCACAATTAATAATTAATTATACCAATATTTATTGCAAATTTCTTCAAAAATTTGTCTTTCATTTATCTATAATAATCAATGTAAAAAAGCAATGATGTAACTATGTGAAAAAAATATCAATAAAATAAGTATGTATTATGTTAAACGATTTACATACAAATGTTCAATTTAACTATCTAGCTATTTATCTATCTATATATTTATCTTGCAAGTTCGTTGCACAACCACTCTCTGACAGGTAGACATATAAGTCTCTCCTTCGTCTCTTTTCTTGTAATACCACAGTTACTTGGTGATTGTGTCGGTGTAATATGCGGTCTTGGAGAACGCATTCGACTTTAGTTACCCTTATAATACGTTCTTCCTGTATTCAAATAAACTCATCTTGAATATCATTTTCATCCTAACGAATTTGTTCTTTTTTTCTATCTTTTATTTTGATTATATTTATTTGATTTTATTTACAGTTTGATTGTTTGTTTTTTTTTATTTTTTTTTAATCAAAACAAGTTGGAAGGTAAAAATTTGACAAGAACATCTTGCGGTTCGTACAACAATTACGGTATTTAAAGTAAGTTAACATTTCTTTGTTTTTTTTTTTTGTTTTTTTTCATTATTATTTAAGGATATCGTAACATTACGACATCATTCATGGAAATGTCCATTATTTCTATCTAAGTTAATTTTTCTTATATAAACTATCTAATTAGAATAATTACGGTGACCGTGTATGTGGCATTGATTATTATCATGTCGAGAACCAGTACTTTATATAACTTAGTTAAATAAAATTCTGTTTATAAGATTGTCTTACTCGATAAAATCCAGAAACCCTTAAGAATTTTAATCGATTAAATATTATACTGGTTTTAAATAATTATTACACTGTTTAATGATTCGTATTATTTGTAATTAAATCTTTTTTCATTTATTTTTATACGTTAGAGACAAAGTTATTTTCATCGAAATTAATTTATTTGAATGATTTGCTTTGGTTAATTGAAAATCTTGTATAATATTTTGACGTTAATTGTTCGTAGATGCAAAATAATGTTAAATATTCGGCATTGCCACAACATACTGACAAACATTTCAGTTTGATGTGGAAGAATGTATCTTTTACGGTTAAAAAGAAAAAAAATGGGAATTATTTGAAGAGTTTTCTTGGATTACAAAGATTCGAATATGTTCCTCTAGTAAATGGTGGTAATTATTACAAATTTTAAAATTAATCATTGTAAAACTATAATATAACAATATACTTCTTATTTCATTCACATTTGTGTTTGTCAGTAAATGGTATAGTTAATTCTGGAACATTGATGGCTATAATGGGCCCGAGGTAAGACCAGCAATCTTTAGGAATTTACTTGTGGTTTGTTTAACAAAAACAAAAAAAAACAAAAAAGGAACAAAATAAATTGTATTTTGTAGCGGAGCTGGCAAGACAACTCTACTTGCGATGATAAGCAGACGTATAAAAGGTATTTGTGTGTGATTACTTTTTGTATAATTTATTCTTGAAATATCTGATAATAATTAAAAAAAAAAAAAAAAAAATTAAAAATAATTTTCTTAATTATTATCAGGTGAAATAGATGGTGAAATTTTATTGAACGGTAAATTGATTAACAAGCAAGAAATGTTAAGAATATCTGGATTTGTACCGCAACAGGATCTTGCTGTTGAATCGTTGACAGTCCAGGAACATATGGAATTTATGGTCAGTTTGTTAAGTTGTTTGAATTGACACGTGAAATTTATGGAATAATTTGAAATTTTTGCTTTCTTTAATTAGGCATGTATGAGAATGGATCGTAGATATCGTACGAGTTTTAGAAAATTAAGAATATCTGCACTTTTAACGGAATTGTTATTGGTCAATTGTGCTCATTCAAAATTGTCAGCATTGTCAGGTGGTGAGAGAAAAAGAGTATCCTTGGCAGTACAAGTAAGGAAAAATAGCTAATGTCAAAACAAAACAACAACATAAATAAAAATGAAAATTTAATTGGAAATATTATTTGAACAAAATAATTATAATTTGTATTTGTTGTTTTTTTTTTTTTTTTATAAATTTCTTTGTCGCAGTTATTAACAGAACCGAGTATTTTATTTTGCGACGAACCAACGACAGGTGTTGACAGTTACGCAGCCATGACAATTGTTAAAACTCTTCGTAACGTTGCTGAAAGGGGTAGAATAGTCATTTGTTCGATACATCAACCAGCATCAGGTTTACTCGACATTTTTCACGAACTTTTATTACTTTCTTCTGGTCGTGTTGCATTTCAAGGTTCGATTATTGACGCAACTAACTTTTTCGACAGGTAAATCTTGAAAATTACTTATCTCATATTTTATTCTTATATCATTTGATTGATTTATTTATTTCTAGTTTGAATCTACATTGTCCACCAACTTACAATAATGCTGAATTTTACGTGTCCCAATTATCCGTTTCGCATGATCACGAGAATGAGAATTCTAACAAGGTAATTGATATTTGTAATATATATTAACAATATATAAACAAAAACAAGAATGAAAAAAAAACAATTTGTTACATACGACAGACGAAATGGATCTGTGATCAATATGAGAAATCGGTTTATGGGAAAAAAATGGCATCATTGATAAGAGATTATCGTAAAGACGTTAACATGGATGACGAATTGCCATTAATATTTGATAACAATGTGTCGATTAAAAGTAATTTTAAAAAGGTCAGATCGTTAACACAAATCGAATGGCTTGTTTGGAGAACTTACATTGATTACAAGAGAAATCTATCTTCAATATTTCTAAGATTTATATCCTATTTGGTAAGTAATCAAAATGTCACATGTAAATAAATATATATATATATATAAATCACAATGACTGTAATTTGATGAAAATCGAAATCGATAAAGTATATAGGTATTTTAATATCATCACCGTACATAAACGTAACTCAAAAAGTTGATCAAGGTAGCATACAAAATATACAAGGTCTGATGTATCTGATAGTAGTGGAAACAGCATTTACTTTTAATTACTCCAGTTTTTATACATTCCCAAGAGAATTGCCATTGCTCTTACGTGATATTGCTGCAAGTTTATACGACCCAGGACCATATTATATCAGCAAAGTTTTAACTTTGGTAATACATTGAAAAAAACAATAATTCATATCACGATGTTATAATACAGTGGTTCCCAAAGTTGTTTTATTTTTTTGGCTATTATCCTAATGCCCTTCATTGAATTCAGTTTTTTTCAAAAAGAATCCTATATCAAAATTTAACAATTTCACTTAAACCCCCAGCCCAAAAAATTTTGGGGACCACTGTCGTACTCTGAAATTAAAGAAAATCGTCATTAGGAATTATAAATTGTTTAGATTCCAGGTATCATAATTCAACCATTTTTATACAGTGGTTTGGTTTATCTGATCACTGGATTAAGGGGTGGAATTATTGGATTCATTTATTTCGTCTTACCAATCATGTCCTGTGCATTTGCTGGCTCAGCTCTTGGTATAATTATTATTATTTATTAATATTATTATTATTATTAATAATAATAAAGAGATAAAACAATTATTTTCCATTTATAAAAATAGGATTTGTCACGTCAGCGTCATTCGATTCGATTGATACAGCTTCTTTGATATCGGTACCAATTGATTTTATGTGTTTAATGTTTTCTGGCATTTTCTTACATCTTGGGTAAGTAATTTTATTATTATTATTATTAATATTATTCTTATAAATTATGGTAAAGGAAGAAAAGTTAGTTAAACATTATATATTTTTCTTTTTCTAGACATTTGGTACCACCAATATCATGGATAAGATATTTGTCAATATTTTATTACGGTTTGGAAGCCATTTCTTTGAAACAATGGGTACAATTTGAACACATAGGTAAATTACACGAGATTTATAATATTTTTTAGGATTTCTTTTTTTTTTGTTATATTTGTTTTTTTATTTGTTTGTTGAAGATTGTTTACCAGATCCAGAAGCACCTTGCATTTCAACAGGTTTAGAAGTTCTTGATAAATATGGTTACATACTTGATCATTATTACGTTGATTTATTAGGCCTTTTAATAATATTCCTCATCTGTCATTCCATCAGTTTCTTGGTACTTCGTTACAGAAGTCAAAAAGAACCTGTCTATTAAAAAATAAATACAATTGTTTAATCCTCGTTAATTATTTATAATAATAAATAATTATATAACGAAGGAACTAATAATAAAATGAAGGTAATACTTTTCATCATTGGATTTACATATCATATTATGACAACAAATAAAGCTAATATTAATTATATATGTAACTAATATGTATAATTGTTTTATATATATATCTTATCATAATATATATAAATTACGTGTCACGTTGTTTGTTAGCAATGGACTCCTAAACTATTGAACCGATTTTAATCAAATTTTACACACTGTGTGCAGTTTTATCCAACTTGAAATATAGGATAGTTTATATCTCAATTTATAATTCGCAATATTATTTTATTACGAATTATTTGTTGTTTATTAACAAAGAGTCATATTTAATATATTTAGAATAAAAGTCTTACTGTCCTGTTTTTTTTAATTCCAAAATATCCAGCAATGGACATCAATATTGTTAAACATATCATTCCACATAAATCTATAATAAAATTTGATTTATCATATCCATATTCAAATAAAACTTCTGTTCCATTTCTTAAACATGGTAATCCTTCCTCTACTTCACATTCTAAAAGATCACATTTTTATAATCACATTTTTATCGTAAATTATTTAACAATTACACACACATTTCTTACCGATTTTATCAATTTTCGACCAATACAATATCGAAAAACATTCATTTATGTAATAAAATATTGACGAATATTTCAAGTATCCTAAATAAGTTGGTAAACTTCTGTAAACACAATGAAATTTCAATAGTTTCGAGATTAAATGAAATTCATGAATTTGATTGTTTTAAATTAAAATAATCAAAGCTTACCTCAAATTATAAAACATACCAGCAGTTAATAGAAATAATATATCAATTGGTACCATAATTATGGTCGTTAAATCAACATTAGTTGTCCAACTGGACATCATCATACCATATGCGGTACCACAGATTGAACCTAACGTTGTTGAAATGCAATAAAGTGGTATATCTTTCCAATTAATGTTACTGTTCAAGGTCAATAGTATCGTCAATGTAAAAATGAGTGATTTAATTATTGATTTTGGTATCTGAACAACAAAAAACAAATTATTTATGCATATTGTTTTTTTTTTTTCAATTGAAGAAAAAGAAATATAAACAAACGAATTATTCAACGAAAATAATGAATAAAAATGAAAATAAGTTTAATGTTACCAATCCGATAAAAGTAGCTACGTAATAAACACCTGGACCATACATCGAAGTTTCACGACAATAATTAATCATGTCCGATGGTAATTCATATATCGCTGAATATGTTACTGTAAAAATAATTTCGGATGTCATCATGTATATAATTCCTCGAATATTTTGCATTCCTTTTTGCGTATTTGGATTGTTTCCAATAAAAAATATATTCACGATTGTCATAGACATCTACATTAAAAAAAAACAAAAAAAAAAAAAAAACAATATAATTAGAAAAAAATTAAATAATAAAATTATTATATATAAAAGAGAAATGTTGATTCATTTTCATTAATACCAAAAATGATATCCATGATAAATTGTCGGAAAAAAATGTTCTACGATTNATAATTTCGGATGTCATCATGTATATAATTCCTCGAATATTTTGCATTCCTTTTTGCGTATTTGGATTGTTTCCAATAAAAAATATATTCACGATGTTTTTTTTTTTTTCGTTTTAAGAAAAAAAAAAAAAAAAAAAAAAAAAAAAAAAACTGTATAATTAGAAAAATAATACTAATGTAAATTATTATATATAAAAGAGAAATGTTGATTCATTTTCATTAATACCAAAAATGATATCCATGATAAATTGTCGGAAAAAAATGTTCTACGATTTTTCTTATAAATCCTCCAAATTAACCATACGAATTGTTTCAATAATCCTGGTTTACTGTAAAAATGAAAAACAACAGAAAAATAAAGAATGAATCTTTGACAATGTATTATTATTTTTACAGTTAGATACGTTTTTAATTTACTTGCATAAATTTGTTTGTATTTCTTTAAGATTTTCATCGATGTTGGGTAATTCGTAATACGGTGATTGTAAAAATGCTTTTGATAAATTTAAAGATCTTTCATCGTTCGACGTAATTGAATCATTTTCAGATATAATACTAATGTGATATTCTGCTTGATCTATGTGAATTGGGCATATAAATCCTTGACTAATAAAAAATAAAATATAAACTACTGTAAATTTTCAATAGAACAAAAATTAATAATTATCAAAAAAAAAAAAAGAATATTGTATATTAAATTAAAGTTAACAAATAAAAAAAAAAAACGATATTATACTTACAAATTTAATTTGAATAATATAAATGAATTACCTTTCGAAAAATGGTTTAACGTTTTCAATATTTCCTGAAAAAATGTTTCTACCATTGGCTAATAAAACGATATGGGTAAACAAATTATACATTGCCATTCCTGGTTGATGAATAGTACAAATTACCAGAGTATTTTTCATTGAAATTAATTTTAACGTTTGTAAAACGTTCAATGCTGTCATACTATCAAGATCTATGAACGTATGTTAATTAATAATGTGAATTTATATATATATATATATATATAATAATAATTTTAAAATAATTTATGATATAATTATATATAGTTATTATTATTAATACTATTATAATATTATTAATATAATATATTACGTTATAATATTTAATATTATAATATTATAAAATATAATAAAATAACAATATTAATAATTTAATAATATTATAAAATAAAATATTATAATATTATATTATA